TTATTTTGTAGCTTATAAAAATAACCATTTTAAAGATTATGCTACACCAAAACAAGTTTTCCTACACTTGTTCTGATAGAGCAACAGCCTTGCTTTTCTTTGATCTTTTCTCCATATGGTGTGTAATGCACGAGGCATGCAATATTCAGCTTCCTAAACATGGTTGCTTAATAAAGACTCTCAGTCCTTCCACAACATCATTAAACTTTCCTTGATATTATAACCAAATGGACTAGGCTGCCAGGCTCAGCTGTGTTAAAGTTGTTTACACTTTCAAAAAGAACAAACAGAAGCCTACTACAAATGCGTTTTCTTCTTCAGTATAAAAAGCTACCCACATTATCAGTGCAAACATTTCACCCATGCAAGCTTTTTTGACAATTAGCATGGAAAATGCAAATTATATCCATTAGAATATGCAGGGAAAATATTTTCCTATAATCAACCTGTATTATTTCAAACCTGGCATGATGTACTGCAGAAAAACAAATGGTAGATGTGTATACACAAAAGAGATGACTTATCGCATCCTTTTTTAATTTTAATGCTTTGTGTTGATCTAAATCAATTGATCAAACACAAATTTATCATTAAAGAGCCTAACCCAACAACCTTTAGTTTCCAGAAAAAGAAAATAAATAGGCAGAGTGAAAAGGCAACAAAGACTACACTGATTATATGTAACAAATCATTTCCACATGTACTAGAAATAGGATGAAGGTAACTACAGAAATTATCTAGATTTGAAAGTTATGAAAATTCCAGTTTTTACTCGGCTTCTTAACTTTCTACTACTGTACTGAATTAAAAATAGTTCAAAATCAAAAGCTTAGTTTGTAAAACTACATTAATGATACCAGCGCCTATGATGTTCAAATGTCATCTATTCAATTACAAACTCAATTAAGTATATTAGGTTTGAAGTTACAACATATTAGTCGTTTAAAATTTGACTATAAAAGTCCAAAGCTCCATCCTCCAATGAGTTAACTAGTTTAGAAGAGACATCCTGTTTTTCAGGACTGCCAAAATTCATCTCAAGATATCAACACCACCTGGACCTCAATATGCTCAAAAACAGTGAAACTTATTTTTTTTTTCATAGGTAACACAAGTTAAAAACAAGTTAAAACATCTAACAACTGAAACCAGGCAGGTCAGATAGCCAGAGTAATGACCCCTAAGAATGTCTTAATCAGTCTCAGTTGGAAATAAGCAGGCGTACCAGCTAAATGACACTCAGCACCTTGAAAGGTGTATTAGAAAAGATATGCATCATCTAAATCATGCAAAACCTGAGCATCATGTTAATGTTATCGGCAGTTTTTAAATTCTTGATAAAATCTATACCCTGTATGTAAAAGTGATCTTATGCTTCCTCTATAAATGTGAAAGCTAACAAATATTCTGAACCAAAAGTACAGCACAAGACATTCTGTCTCAATATGTTGATAATCAGAACGGTGATAAACATGGGGGCAGAATAGCTCCAGAATCCTTCCTACATACAGCACAGACAAAAGATCTTACACTGATACTTAAAGAGACAAGATCCTTATTATCCATTATGAGAATTAGCAGCTGTTCAGAGCTCATCAATTTAAAATGGTGTTGAGTTAGCTATACCAGGAGTCATACTGAAGTCTATATATATACACCTGTCCTAAAATATTTATAGATTCCTCTACAGGTCTCCAACACTAAATCGAGTCCTTCAAATCCACAGAATGTTAGTTGTCACTTCACACTTTATACACTTACAGGTACTCAGAGGAAATGACACTGCAAGCTGCATTTCAAAAATGTCTATGCCAAGTTCTTTCTCTCACAGATAAACAAATCCCCATGGTTCTGATATCCAGAAGAAAAAAAGTCAACTGGAACTTTAAGTCAGAAACAGACAAAAAACAAGCTAAGTTTTCTCAAGTAAAAGAATTAAAAATACAAAAGCTGAAGAACTACCTTCCAATGTTTGAAAAACTTCACTGGTAACAGGAAAGGAGACATTCTAACACCGAGATAAATTTTATGAACCTGCTATTGGCAAAGAAATTCTGGCTACATGATCTGCTCTTCTGAAAAACCTGAATTTGTTAGTTTATTGAAAGAGCAAAAATAGAACACCAGAATCTCCACCCATAAACTGATTTATGATCTTGATAAACAGTGTTCTTTTTGTGACTTAAACCAGGCCAAATAGAAGATTCAAGTAAGTTTTAGTGCAGTTCAATGACCTGATTCACCCATTTCTATTAAAAGCAAACTCATTGGAATTCCCATTATTTTGTTGGCACATCTACAGGCAGTGGAGTTGGCTATCTTAGGATACCCACCACATACATAACACTTAGGTTTTTCTCATATCCCTATCCCTTCAGAGTCCAGCTTTATTCTGCACCTCACTACAACAACTGCACTTAACAAGAACACAAAGGCTTTGTCAACTCAGGATCAAATTATTTGGAGTAAGACACTATGGTAGAGCTCTCACTTCTTTCTATTTCAAAAGATACCCAACTTGGAATGACAATGTCGCCTCTTCACAGAAAAAGCTTTCAAGAGGCCTTATCTTTATGAAGTATCTTGAAGTGGCCCTACACACACAGTCTCAGAAAACAAGAATGCTAGACTTCGTTTCCTGTGGTTAATAAACCTGCAGGGAATTAAGTTCATTCCTCTTCTCCCAAAAATCTGCCTGCAAACTTGAGAGCAACTACTAAGTAGTTGCCCAAGGAAGCTATGAATGCTCCATCCCTGGCAGTGCCCAAGGCCAGGTTGGACAGAGCCTTGGGCGACACGGTTTAGTGCGAGGTGTCCCTGCTCATGGCAGAGGGGTTGGAACTAGATAATCTTAAGGTCCTTTCCAACTCTAACCATTCTATGATTCTATGAAGTACAACATTCAAAGCATAAGATGATATCAAAGTTCTAAAAAACCCTTCAGCTTCTCAGCACTCCTAGTACAATGCACATATTTTGAGTTATATAAAATTACAGCTCATATCCAAAGCTGAAACAAAACTGCAACTATCTTCTGTGTTACTCCAGCACATACAAGGAAATGAGGCTTAGACAGCAGGTTCAGATGCTGAGAAATTGTAACTGCTCGCTGCTATCCAAAAAGGAAGCATTTTTTCCTCCTCTCTGCCATCTTCCCAACCTCTTCTGCACAACATCACTGCACCTCTCTCAAACCAACTGAACTTATTAAACAGGGCAAGAAATTAAAATGAAGTCTGGAGGAGGCAAGGGAGGCCCCTTCTGAAGTTAAGACCATCACACTGATGAAATCAAGAAGCAGAGTGAGCATAATACTGGGAGATTAATTTAATAGTAATATATTGATAATCAAACTCAACCTGAAATGTTTAATCTGAATACCACATCCCTATTACACATTTAAGCAGCTTTCTTTCCTTTGAGTTGCAAAATGTATATGAAATTTTGCAAATATCAGGGGTTCACAATGACAACTGTTTCACTCTGAAAGAAACTACATTCACTGAGTAACATAACCAATACCTTCTTCAACAGACTTGTCTTCAGAGCCATACAGGGCATTTTAACAAGGTAATACAAGTTACAGCTTAAGGTATGTGAAAAGAAACTGCATGGGACTTCTCTTCTTCTGGTTCTAAAGTCCTACCTGCCTTAATTCTGGCAGAATATCCAGAAAGGAAGTTTCCTGCTTAGTTCGCTACATTGCATTGTGGAGAGTTCATGGACATCATCACAGCCAATAGGGTCAGAAGACAGTCAGCACTACACAACTGGCTCAGATGTCCGTGGATGAATGAAGCTTACAATCACATCCTGTCCCTCCACTACGTACTGGCTAAGCCACTATGCCCTCCAACACAACAGCACTAACATCTGGTTTACCCCTCTCTGTGCTAAACTTCATAAAGCTAAACTCCCAAAAGCTAACTCTTAAGGAAAAGAAAAAAAGTTAACCTATTCAGACAGCTAAATCTGCCAAAGGGAAAGTCAAGTGAATTGTGTGGATTGACACACGGGCTACCAAGGGCAGCAAGAAAGACTTGGCAGTCCCAAGTTACAGACAGCTAACAAAGTCAATCTAAGCCATCACTTCTTGGCAACTGATGACCTTAAAAAGCACTGACAGCACACAAGCAGAGAAGAATAGGGAACAGATCTGAAGTCTTTCCCACCATCACGATTTTCAAAAATACACTGTCTTGTGAAATTAAACCTTTTTTTCCCCCCCTTTGCTTACCTAGAAATATTCAAGTTTCAGGCTAAGAGATAACCATATCAAAGGATGACCAGTAAGATTTTGAATATAAGAAAAATTGATTTACATTAGTTCTATACTCAAGAGAACTATGCAGGTTAGAGAACATATCTGTCAAGTATCTTAAGGCTTCTTCCATTTCTTTTCAAGCTACTTCCGTAATCTGACAGCCTAAAGCATCTGAACAACCACATCAAAACATTTAAGCTTATTGTTAAAGATGCAAGTTTAACGACAGTCTATGCTTTAACATAGTGTATCTTAATGAACATTCCAAAACAGCTGCTTTTGGATGAAGTACCCTCCTCAAATTCTATAAAACATGCAACTTGAATAAAGAAACTTCAAACTTAAATACAAAGCATATCTGCCAGTTTTACTGAAAGTTAGTTACATCACAAGTTTTACTGAGCAGCAAGTTTTATGTATCAAAAATAATTATCAGTAACTTTTCAGACAATATTCAGATAGACTTTACACCAATGTTAGCAAGTCTCTATTTAATGAAGCAACGTAACTGGGAAAAAAAACCCTACTCTTTGTAACAATACTTCAATCCACAATTTTATAAACATAATAGAACAGGAGAAAGGCCAGCTAAACACAACCATAATATAAGCAGGTGAAATGCATGTGAAGCAATCAAAGTATTTTGCTTTGTCACCTTGCTAAATAGCCAAAAATATTCATGAGCTACACCTGCCTGCAATCAAATAATAAAGTACCATTTAATAATAGATCCTACCTAAAAGCAGCTTCCCAAAAGCAGTTCATTCCACAAACATCAGAGGGCAGCATCCAATAGGAATTCCAGAAAGATACAGACAAATTCTTACACCTAACAGGATAAGACAAAAATAACCTACGTAAGTGTTACTGATTTTATAGCAAAGTTAAATGGATTATTTTCTAGCTCAAACATAACTTGAATAGTTAATTACCTGGCAGAAGACTGGCTATGTGACAGATAATACAAAAGAGGAGGTACGAGGTGCCAACCAGGAGGATTCTGTTAAGGAAGACTGGTCCCCATCCTTTAGCCTTTCCTCTCCTGGTATTTTCAGAGTGAGAAAAACAGAGGGGCTGGGATTTCAGAAGGTCATTCTATGTTTTTGTCTTAGTAGAAGTCCGTAGGTAATACAGTGAATGGCAACAACTACTGCTGGCAAAAACTCCTTCACTTTACACCTCTACTTGAAGCAGTGGAGAATTTCTTTTCCAAAGTTACATTGTCTATTTAAACACAATCCCTATTCACCAGTGACCCTATTCACTGCAAACCTACAAAGCTGATTTTTAACAAAACACAGGGTTTTACAACACAAGCAAATTCCATTGTTTCATAACAAAAGGTTAATGCAATACCAAAATAATCACCACAGCTGGCAACTTTCCTTCTCCATACTAATGACAGGACTAATAATTTATTGACTTGTGCTACACTAAAAAAAGCAGGGTTTACTAGTCTACCACTACATTTTATGCAACAGTAATATAGGAAATATTTTCAAAGAGCATTGGAAGTGTATTTCAGAGGCTCTGGTGAGGAAATCAATATCAAGATTTAAAATCTTAAATGAGCAAGTAGAATTTTGCAAAGTAAGGGGTATACACTTGCGTGACCTCCTCTGCTCCCATTACCGGCACTGGTGACACAATGCCAATAACGTTTATCCTCCTTTGAAAGTTGGCATCTGTAAGAAGATGCAAGAAGAAAACTCCCCAAAAGCCTGATGATGAAAAGGTATTTAAGGACTACAGTTCAAAACTCTACTGGAAGTTGGCTTTGCAAATTTCAAATGAATCAGCATCATCTTGGTGGGATCATCTGGTACCTGCAAAGACCAAAGTTTTCAAATACCAGACTTAATACAATAACATAGCATCAAAAATGGCAAGCTGTATACTTTCTTCTTTTTTCAACACTTGAGAAAAATGACCTGGTAAACAGTGTTTCACAAGGCCTCATGAAGTGATGAGGTGGTGGACCAGTTCTTTGGTAGAGACTGCAGGAAATCCTTCTAGCCTGCATATGCATGTGTTTGCAAGAATTAGTCAAGTCATTTTATCTCATGACTTAAGAATGGTCTCCACAAAGAAATATCCAGGTACACAAAAGGATAAAGTAGATTGTGACTGGGATATCTGCAGTTCTCTAGGGAAAGTAAATAGTGTAAAACTACAAGTTGTCTCTGCCAGATTCTTTCTTACATTAATCTTCATGGCTTTTGAAGTTTTTTAAAGACTTCAAGGCACATTAAGGTCTTGTGTTTATCTGAAAAACAGCCTTCACAATCTCCAGTTTGAAGCATTTTGAAGTAACTGTCTCATTACTTTTAGGATAAATTAATAGACTATCTCTTAAAAACAGTTTTTCTGGTTTAGAAGATGATGATGATTATTATTATTATTACAGGTATTATTATTATTACAGGGGATTCCTCTTCCAGCTGTCAGGAGCTGTGTTTTTCTAGCTGCCTTGAGCTACTATCCAATCCAGACTACCAAGGCAAGAGGCAAGCTTGAATTAATGCCCAGGTCTTTTCTCTGACACATTAGGTCTTTCCGATAGCCCATTTAGCACAATAACAAGGTTGTCAGCCTTGGATATGCTTCATAAATTTTGTGTTTGAAACATATGTATGTGTCCTAATAACATTCTTATGTAATTTACCTAATGTTAGACTAAGACTTTTTTCCTGCCTGAGAAGTCTTTCTCAGCTGACCATACGCTATCATATTCCACAAAACTTTGCATACAAAGGATTAAGAGGCTGGAATCACTGGACATTTTCTGGAATCACTGGACACATTTTCTTCTTGTCGTTCTCAATAAGATCATTCAAAATGACACTCATGAAGGTTTATTTTTACTTGAAATAAAACCTGAGGAAAGCTTAGACTACAAGTTAAGTGTCACAAGTGTTTTACAAAGCTAGGGAGATGCACTGTATCTGTTCATCAAACAGGCACAGTCATAGTTACCTGAACGAGGTTACTGGTCAGACAGGAATAGTCGCCTTCAGCATCAGGGAGGAATATTTTGCTCACATCTATTATAGGTTATGCGATTAAAGGCCAGTCTCCACCAACAGAAAGCAGAAAATGTCAGGCGAGGGAAACCCAGCAATCTAACCCAAGCACATGGAGCACCCTCGCCCAGCCCCAATGCAGAAGAGCAGTCAGTCCATGGGCCAGGCAGAAGATCCACTGGGTGAGAAAACAGGCAAGGCTCTCCAGACCAGCTTACCAGATGTCTACATGGGTCTGGTGCTCACTGTGGGATCAAGGTGGACTGGGGAGGAATGCAACTGCAAAAACAGAGAGAAGAGGGTCCAGTCACACGTAAACAGGTGGCCAGTCAGTACGACTGGCCATGTTGTGTGCCTGAAACCAGTCTCCTCATTACACTCCATTTCTGTTTTCCTGGGTGCTGGTGGGCTCCATTCTATGCTCATGTGCATGCACAAAGGTGGAAGTGCCAGCGAATTTAAAGATGACTGCAGATCATAGGGGCCCATGAACCTGCAGCGCCAGTAACTGGAGAGACCAGTGTGCACACAGTGTGCGGGTGTGCATGTTGGTACACATAATCACTAGCACGTATCAAGCCAGACTAACCCACAAGTTGAGAAAGAGGCTTGGGAGCCAGGTATCATACAGACCATAAGGCTGGGCCAGACTGCAGCAATGACAGGGTCTGCGCCACTTGAAAGACCCTCTCAATCTAATCACAAGAGACAAGGGTCTGAGGGATGGCTACTGGAAGGACCAGAAGGTCTAAGCCAGCCACCAGAGAGGCTTTTGAGGGTTGGCTAATGCTAAAGGCCATAGGACTAGACCAGCTAACAGAAAGACCCACATGCTTGAAGCAGTCCCACAGCCAGCTGCCACAAGGCTAAGGCCAGTAACTGGAAGGATCCATAGTGTACTCATATGTGCACATCCAAGAGTGTCCGAGTACCAGAACTGAACTGGGGCTCCAAGCCTCATGGGTTTGCATGCTCAAACCAGCAACAGGAGAGACCAGAGGATCCTGCTCCTGGATAGCCTGAGTGACTAAGGCCAGTTACTGGAGGGAACCACACTGTATGCATTAACATGTTTTTCACTAAAGGCCTTTCACCCTGATCAGGCCACTTGAGTTGTTTGTGCACTGTTTTCTCTGTGCTGATCTCCGTGGCCAGCCATGGATGTACGCACTGTGAGCATACGTGCCCATTGGGAATAAATGCTCAGCTTTGCTACTTGGCTGGACCCAGGTACATGGAGCTTCAGCAGCCTCACCTCCATCAGACTACTAGGTTGGACAACTAACATAATTCACTGTCAAAAACACAAAAGCAAAGAAATAAAGGTTTTTTAAAATCACCAATATCAGACAGGTATTCTCAAAGACCTGTTTGGCAGTTCAAGGCATCTCTGCCTTAAGGAACCAGCCATTTCATAATTAACCTTTGTCAGGTAATTTAGCTTCAACACCACTGGATAGTAAAAACTACAGTCTTTCAGACATAGCAAAGGTGCCTATCCTGTGACCTGAAAAGAAACACACTTTTGAGAATCAAATGGCAACTTTGTATGCAAATTACACAGTAATGCACAAGTCACATTGATGAAGACTGAGGGCCTGTGCTCAGGCAAGTCAAGTTTCAACCATAAGGAACCTCCCAAACATCAATGGTAGGGAAAAAAAAAAAAAAGTCCTTTTGTTAACTGCATTGGTGGGCTTGCTGTTAATGGAAATCACAGTTCCCAAGTATACTGTTTAGTCTGTGTGGCATCTTTAATCCTGCTGGAATTTCACAGCAAATGTAGCACTATGTCCAAATGGGGAGGGCTGCAGTCGTGACTACTGCCTCCCTTCCAGCGCTGCATTAACAACCAAAGTCTAATCAACTGAAAGAAACAACTAACAGACAGACTGGTGTCTCTCTACAGCACAATGTGCAGCAAAACAGGAAGGATGCATTTTTTTTTAGTTCCTTCCTGCTCATCATCACAGAAATAAAAATTTGGAAAGACTGATGCTCAATTCAGCTCTCAAATGCACTGAGAATTTCTGATTCTTCCGAAGAGCTTTTCCTGAACACCTGCAGCAGTATCACAAATTTCTTACAATGTATTTTGTCAGAGAAGCAACAGCTTTATTAGATAGGAAGCAGCAGATGTAATGTTAAATGCCTGATAGAGGACAATTTCTTAACTGGAAAAATCTTGTGTTTCATTAATTTACATTTCTATGAAAAATAACATTTGCTAATCAACTTCACTGCTTGACAAATTCAGATTTTTTTAAATGAAGTTTCAACTTTCAACTCCCCCTTGGAGTACTGTGTGCAGTTCTGGTGTCCTCAACATAAAAAGGACATGGAGCTGTTGGAGCAAGTCCAGAGGAGGGCCATGAGGATGATCAGGGGGTTGGAGCACCTCCCGTATGAAGACAGGCTGAGGAAATCAGGGCTGTTCAGCCTGGAGGAGAGAAGCTGCGTGGAGACCTTACAGCAGCGTTCCAGTATCTGGAAGGCGCCTATAAGGATACCAGAGAGGGACTTTTCATCAGGGACTGTAGGGATAGGACAAGGGGTAATGGCTTCAAACTTAAACAGGGGAAGTTCAGGTTAGATATAAGGAAGAAGTTCCTTACAGTGAGGGTGGTGAGGCACTGGAATGGGTTGCCCAAGAAGTTGTGAATGCTCCAACCCTGGTGGTGTTCAAGGCCAGGTTGGACAGAGCCTTGGGTGGCATAGTTTAGTGCGAGGTGTCCCTGCCCATGGCAGGGGGGTTGGAACTAGATGATCTTAAGGTTGTTTCCAACCCAAACCATTCTACGA